TTATCCAAATCACTTTTAATTATAAATGTAGTTTTTTATTTTATAAATTATTTTATAATCTAGATTCAATAGATTATAAAATCAAATGATATTATTTCTATAATTTTTCTTTTAAAATTTATTAAAAGAAATATTTAGTCTCTTTTTTACACGTGGGGAAAAAAGGACCTAAAAATATAAACAAAATACATTCTTCGAGAATTTTATAATACATGAATTATTGGTGCAGCAGTGTATTAGAACTGCTATTACGTAGACTAACTAAAAATTTGATAGAGTTTCCTCACACTAAGAGCCTCTTTAAAAGATACATGAAGCGAATATTTTGTTAACAAAATATGGAAACAAGACTATATTCTAGAAATAGAGGAAGAGTGGTTTTTAGGTATTTCAATAAAAGATGTATTGTTTACAGTAAATACGTTTCTATTCTCACCGAGTCACTATTATCAAGTTTCAATATATCTCTCAGTAACATACTAGGGACATGTTATATATAAATTAACAATCAAACTCAAATACAGATAGAGTCAAAAGTGAACGTTTAAACAACGATAATTATGAAAATTATTGATCTTCCTCAAAGTCATTATTTAAAACATGTTATAAAAAACCACTTTGCCTTGAAGGTGATGGTTTGATTGTTTAAAAAATGAAAGTCTATTTAAATATAAACAAAAATATTATCGAATCAGATAGTCATAAAGATTGATACAACTATCCTACTCTGCATGGGTAATTTGGTTGTTTGTAACTTTAATAAAATTTAAATTTTTGTTCATGATAATTTATTAAGATTTTTTCCTTAAATGCTTAAAAAAGAGTTAAACCAATTATCTTATGTTTAAATTGACTAAATGAAACTAGTCACATCGTCAGCTGATGCTAGTGTGACAACAACTATTTGGTTTGGCAGATTTGTCATTCACATTTCTAAAATCTTATTGCATTTTGTACCTAATATACAGTATTGCTCAAAAAAACGTGACCACTAAAATTTTTTAAAAATATATTGTTATACAGTATTATATTAAAATTTTTTCAAAAACAGTATATATTTAAATAATAAACACAGCTAATTTCAGAAAATAATAATAAATTTTATGATAGGAGAAAATCTTTACAAAATTTTTTTAAAAAAAATTGTCCAAAAAAACGTGACCAGAATTAAATTTAATATTTAATGTTATAGCCTTTTGCTTTATACACCTCTAGACACCTCTTCTGAAAACTATTAACATACTTCTGGATCAAATAAACTGGTATATTATACCAAATCTCTTTTATTTTTTCTTTCAATTCATCTTTTTTCAATTTACCAAATTGAGCTAATTTACACTTTACAAGAGCCCAGACTGCTTCAATAGGGTTTAAATCTGGACTCTGTGGTGGCCAATCTAAAACTTGAATTTTTTTTCATCTAACCAGTTGGAAACAAGTCTTGAGGTATGCTTAGGATCATTATCTTGCATTAAGATAAATTCCTCAAGACCCATTTCACAAGCAGATTGTCTCAAGTTATTAGCTAAAAGTTGCTTATACACTGCAGCTGTCATTGTTTCTTCAATAAAAACAATTCTTCCAACCCCGGCACATGAGATACATCCCCAAACCATTATTGATCCACCTCCATGTTTGATTGTAGGAATTGTATTTTCAGGTTTGTACCTCTGTCCAGGAAAATAACGCACATACTTAATACCATCGCTATTAAAAAGATTAAACTTACATTCATCAGTGAAAATTATTGTTTTTAAGATCTCATGTGAAATCCCTAAAAATTTTTCTGATAAATTAAGTCTTTTTTCTATATTAATAGGTCTTAAGAGTGGTTTTTTCGCTGGTTTGGTAGTAACTAAACCAAAATCAGATAAAATTCTTGACACAGTTTGTCTTGAAATTTGTACATTAAACTTTTCGACAAATTTCTGTGTAATCTTTAGGCAAGATTCTTTATGATTTTTATCATAAATCAAGAATAACTGACGTTTTAATTCATCAGACAATATTTCAGGTCGTCTTGAACCAAATTTCCTTCCCAATGGTGTTCCATTTTTTAACTTCTTATTAATATTGCATACTAAGGTTTTACTAACCTTTCTTTTAAGAGCCATCTCTCTTTGACTTAAACCCGATATTAAGTCATCTTCAATTAAGATTTTAACTTCATATGTAATGTGATTAGTCATGGGTCAATAATTAAAAATTGTTTAAAAATTTATTTTAGAGGGAAATTTAATTCTGGTCACGTTTTTTTGGACAATTTTTTTTAAAAAAATTTTGTAAAGATTTTCTCCTATCATAAAATT